AGTTTTATTAGAACATGGCCATTCTCATTCATTTATAGATTTTTTGTTTGTTTGTTTGTTTACTCGGAATTGAATTCAGGGGCACTCAGCCACTGAGTCATACTCCTAGTCCTAATTTGTATTTTATTTAGAGACAGGGTCTCACCTAGTTGCTTAGCACCTCACTTTTTACTGAGACTGGCATTTAGATTTTTTATGGCTGCTTTTATACAACAACAACAGAGACGAGTAGCTACAAGAGACTACATGATCACAATGCCTGAAATAATTACTATCTGGACCTTTTCAAAATGTTTGCCGACCTTTGCTCTTAATTTCATTACCCAAGTTAAAAGGAGCAGGGAGCACATTCCATCATGGGCTATTCTGAGACAATCACTTTATTTAAATTATTTAAAGTCCTCAGAGTCACAAGAAATAGAAATTATCTAATCTGACCTGATTTTTAAAATCCTATCTAGTTAGTTTTGTTTTGGCACAGGATTGAACCCAGGGTCACTTTGCCACTGAATTACATTTCCAGCCCTTTCTTTCTTTTCTTTTCTTTTTTTTTTTTTTTCAGATTCACATCAATTTTATTAGAACAAACTCTTTTTTTCTTTTTTTTTTCACTAAATTGCTGAAGCTGTCCTCAAATTAGCAATCCTCCTACCTCAACCTCCCAAATTTCTGGGATTACAGGCATGTGCCACCACAACTGGCTTAACTCTATAGCTTCTAATATTAAAAAAAAAAAATCAAGTATATCAGTAAAGCACCCAAACAACAACTCCCACAGAACAAATCCATTTTTTACTGAGAAACACTAGCAGATAGTAGTTTTATACTTAAGTGCTTGCAAAAATCTATCCCTTTAGTGAACACCTAAGAAATTAAAGTTTTCAAAGAAAAGGAGTTTAAAAAGGGAAGCCTAGAAAACAACGGTAAGGAGAAGCACTCAGGGAAGGGAAGGGCAGGATACCTAGGAGAAAAAAGTTATTCATCCAACAACAAAGAACTGAATGTTCCATTAAAGAACATCAGAACTAGGAGTCAGGAAAGTGGATTCTGGGTATTAGAACATAAAGTATAACATTAGGAAATATACCCCTAGTTATAGTTTAAGAAATATCATGAAAATATAATATGAACTAGCTGAGAAAACAAATCATAACTCTCTGACATACTGAAGTAGACTTGTTAATAAAAGGCATTGTAGGAAGAATCAAATTTGTAGAAAAAAGAAGTTAGGAAAGCAATATAGGATACAGACTAGGGGCATAAGCTTTCGAGGTACAGAAGCCTGATTCTGATCCTGCTTCTACCACTCACTAGCTCTAAGTCTTTGAGCACAAATTCTCTCTCAGTCTCAGTTTCCTCATCTGTAAAATAACAGTATCTCAGTAAATTACTGTAAGGATTAGATAAAATAATGCATACAAAGAGTTTAGGGGCTGGGGTTGTGGCTCAGAGGTACAGCATTCGCCTAGCATGTGTGAGGCACTGGGTTCAATCCTCAGCAACACATAAAACAAAATAAAGACATCGGGTCC